GCCATAACCTTTTCACAATGATATTATTTATTTATTTATTTATTTAACACACATAGCTTGCTGAAATACTTCTGCGGCCGTCTCATCTACCTCAGTCATGCAGATCAGGACCTGGTGAAGGATAATCCACTTCTTACCTCCGAGACTGTGCTATGATCTATATGACCTTATTATTTTTATTGTGAGTATTAGGCTTATCATTATTGCTGATAACTGTTGTTGTGCTATGTTATTGTAATATTTACCATTATATAATCAGAGGAGTATAGAAAAGTTTATGAAAGTGACAATAGTATTTTTATGTTACATTAATCAGTATTTAGCACACCTTCCTAAGGAAAGGATATGGACCAGAAGACATTGCAATTACTAAATGATATTTAGACAGACTTAAAGAAGTTCCAGATCTATACTTGTGCCCTTATTATTTCAGTTATTTTGCCTTTAATTTAAATAAACATGTGCAAACAATATACTTGCTCTTGTGAATTTATTTTGATGTTAATTACATTGTGCAAGCTGTTTCTTGAATACTGCGTGGTTTATATACATGTTGCTGCTGATAGGGCTGACATTTTTGACACACCCACCAAACAAGAGAAAACGTATCTCAAACCCCGTTGCACACCGTTTCCAGGAAACATGTCGTTCAAACCGGAAACCGTAGCAAAACGTTGCGCACCGGTTTGAGCTTGAACTTGCCCCAGGTGACCCTGATCGCGCCTGACCTGCCTTCTGTTTCCACTATACTCCTTTTGTTTCCACTATACTCTCTCTCACACATACATACATACATACTTCTCTTACATACACATATTTTCTTCAGACATGCATACATTCTATATATATTTATATATATTGAGAGTGCCAGAATGAATTATGGCTTGTACGGCCCCTCATACACATGCATATAAATACATACATACATATTAATCTGAAGACTTCATCTACATCGCAGGCAAGCAACGGGGAAAAAACCCTCTGGTGTGACGGATCCAGCCTTGACAAGACAGCACGTTTATGTCACCACAGGCCAGTTCTTCCACCCTAACATGGTAGTCTTGCAATTCTACAGAAGATTCTCTTCCACTCTTCTTTTGCTGTTCTTCTTAACTTTCCAACTGATTATGGTGGCCACAGAAAATCTCCTCAAATTAGGCTGAGCTCTTTGTCTGGCCTCTGTCATTCCATGCACAAGAACATGGTCTATTACAGTAGCTCTAATTTCATCTGTCTTGAAATTCTACACAAGATTATCTTCCACTCTTCTTTTGCTGTTCTGTTGAACTTTCCAAGTGATGGTGGCCACAGAGAATCTGCTCAGTTTAGGTTGAACTCTTTGTTCTGCCTCTGTCATTCCATGCACAAGAACATGGTCTATCACAATAGCTCTGATTTCATCTGAAATGACTGTTCTTGGTCTTGTTCTTCCTCATCCTCTTCTTCCTCCACCTCATACACCTCTTCCATACCTCAGATTGATGGATGCACCCATGCCATCTGTGCACTTTGAACTGGCTTATATTTTGTACATTCACATATTGCAAACAGTGTCTAAACTGCCTGAACTTGTTTAAGGTTTTGCAGAAAGAGTGATTTATTTGACAAATTGGTTTAGGCTATTGAGAATTTGGTTCACAGAATGGGGTTCAGTGTCTTAGCAAATGTGAAAAACTGTAATCGTCTGAGCTGTTTTGCCTGATTAATTACAGGCATTCGGATAAATAGGTAACGTTAGGAAACAGAAGAGCAAACATGAGTGAATAATATGGTTTTAATTAAGGTTTTTAACCTACTTTTACTCTGTTTTCAGTATTATTTAAAACTACTCTTTGGAGTGTTACAAGCTGTTCGTGAATAGATAAGTATTTTGAAGATTGCTGGTAATCAAACAGTTTGTGATTGCCTTTGACTTCCATAGTATTTTTTTTTTCCTACTATGGAAGTCAATGGCAACCACCAACTGTTTGATTACCAGCGATCTTCAAAATATCTTCTTTTACGTTCAACATAAGAAAGCAACTCGTACAGGTTTGGAACGATGCACCATCAGATTCCAGATTTTCAAATAGTTGTATTGTCCTAATATTGTCCTATCCTTACAAACCACACATCAATGGAAAGGTTATTTATTCAGCTTTCAGATTATGTATAAATCTCAATTTCGAAAATTTGACCTATATGACTGGTTTTGTGGTCCAGGGTCACATTTCATTACACCAAATACACCAAATAATGTTCTTTTTAACAACATCATATGACCCCTTTAAGGTTTTGCAGAAAGAGTGATTTATTTGACAAATTGGTTTAGGCTATTGAGAATTTCGTTCACAGAATGGGATTTAGTGCCTCAGCAAATGTGAAAAACTGTAATGCAGTCATCTTAGGAAGTGTATATTACAGGTGTGGTGCATTAGGGCAATGGATGTTGTTCCCTCAGCATAGGATCTAAAGGCCACGACTCCACGTCGTGTGGACACAACATAAGGATGTCGTTACCTTGACAAAATGATCTTGTGGCCACGACAAAACTAAGTGAACTGAACATGTCCCCACCTGGTCACCGTAGAGCTTGGTCTGTAGGAGTAGCTAGGTTTATAATTTTTTACCGAGAACAAGCTATTGATTTCTTGCAGATCATCTAGCTATCAGATGTTGATTCAGTAACCGCTCTTCAGACTTATTCAAACTGAGTCGTTAATCGGGCTACACTGGTTAGAAAAAGTTTGTGCAAGTTGGCACTCTTTGACTTTAAATGCGAGCTGAACATGACCCACCGATCATAAAGATGATGATTAAAGCATTATTTTCTTGTTTCATTGACACAATATTCATTGCCTATGTTGGTCAAGAAAATATAATCTTTGACAGTTAGTTACTTGCACTTCTAGGCAGTTAAATCTTAGCTACATAGTTAACCAGTAATATATATCAAATCGACATTTACGAACAACTGATTTTAGTTTAACAAGATCCTGATTTAACTGCTATTATTATTAAATATTATTAAACAGAATTATAAAAAAGGCATCTGCCAAATGTGCAAATGCAAATGTAAAAACCAAAATGGCACCAAAAATTTGGATACGTTCATTTATTTGTGTAGTGATTCATCTTTTCTCAATCCTCATCTTTTAGTTAAAGGAACCATCTGTAGGCAACTATTACTTTACATTGCTTCCAAGTGTAAATGCTATCATCAGTTTTACCAACAATATTTGTATGATATTAAAGTGATATTTACATATTTAGCGTGCTTTTATACTTAAAAGCAAAAGCACTATAGTTATAAATCTGAAAAGTAATAAACATTGAATGTGTTTCCAATGGAAATCTAAATGAATAAATGCAATATACAAGCGGAAAAAACAAACAAAGTGACAGACATTCGATAGCATGTTTATAACTTTAAGACCGTTTGACTGCACACAGTTTGTGGGGGGATGGGTTCAGAGTGAAGCCCACGACTGGTGAGAGATCCAACTCATCTTCAGACACTCCTGGAGGAGGAGTGAAGCGGAAATGCTGAAGGAGGGAGGTGAAGAACAGAAAGAGCTCCATCCTGGCCAAACTCTCTCCAGGACAAACCCTGCGGCCTGAGAACAACAATAAGCAAAGGATTAACAAAAAGCATTTGCGATGGCACATTATAAGTAGTGAATTTGAAGTCCACTGCACCTGCAGAGAAGGGCATGAAGGCGTCCCTTTTGACAAACTGTCCCTGCTTATTTAGGAAATGACTTGGGTTGAAGCTGTCAGGAGTTTCCCACTCATTTTCATCCCTCAGTACAGATGCCAGTAGCGCCCACACACTGGTACCCTGCACAAAACAACACAAAAGATCAATGATAAATGGTGCAAACACATAATCAAGAACACTGCATGTTCTTACTGGAGCCAGACCTTCTTGATGAGGTATCCATTCAGGTGAACATCACAGGTGGTCTGATGAGGGGAACCAAGGGGTATTACGTTTGCAAATCTCTGGGTTTCATGGATCACAGCGTCTGTATATGATAAGTTCTTCCTGTCTTCCGCCACTGGCTGACGTCCACCGATCACTCGGTCAATCTCATCTTGAACCCTGGCTACGTTAAATGAACAAGAAAGACCACAGTATGAGAGTTTATAACATCATTACTGAATACTTGACTGTGGTTGACACTTTGCATGGGATATAATTAGATTTGCAGACTTGCATTATTCAAATTGTTATAAAATAATGCAATACTCCTGCATTTAGATGCAGCCATACCTTGTATTTCAGGGTATTTGGCCATGAGAAGAAGACCCCAGCGTAGAGTTGTAGCCGTAGTGTCGGTACCAGCACCAAATAGGTTGTTGATTGTACAATATAAATTCATTGAATTTTACAAAGAGTCTGTTTTGCCAGATTCCTGCAGAAATCATGACGGTGAAAGCCAAGAAAAGGAGATATCAGAGTGCAGGTTCCCCAGAAGTGGCAGCGGTTTGGGTCCCGGAGGATATTTTTTCCCCTCATCCCGACAGCTGGAGCGGATGGAGAACAGGTAAATAACCAAACACAACAGCAGAGCACCTAATACTGTACCTGTGCCAGAGCCCTGCGAGAGTAATGCTTCAATTAAAGCCATAGTCAGACAGATCTACCATACACATGCACAGATCAATCACTCGTTTAGGTCTGATGTGGGTTGTAATCCTGTTCTTATGTACTATTTATAGGAGGGGGCATAAGAAAGAACAGGGTAACCTTTGCATAGAAACAAGGCATTTGGAATCAGATCCAAATGAGGAAACATCATATCACTGCCAATAGTACGATAATTAAACATCTTGGCTAACCCTAACTATAATTTTATTTTTTTATCTTTGGCCTGTTGATAATAAGTACTTTTTTGAAACACATAAAATATAAATGCTAAATAAATAATAAATAAAAAGGTTGAGACCGTTGGGTAAGGACGTTGGGTTGTTTTAACCCAATTTTGGGTTGAAAATTACGGTAGCCGAGAAGTGCAAAACAAATCACAATTCTGAAAACAAAATAACAAATTACAAACGCAAATGCAAGTCTAAAAAACAAAATAACAATTCAGAAAGCACAACAACAATTCAGAAAACATTATAACAAGTCAGAAAACACAATGACAAATTTGAAAACAAAATAACAAGTCAGAAAACACAACTACAAATCCGAAAACAAATTAACAAGTCAGAAAACACAACGACAAATCAGACAAACCGGAAGAGGTAGGTATAGTTTGAGACAGCGCCAGTGGAAAATAATGTTTTTTTTAACCTTAAACCGCATAAACACATTGCATTACACCAAATACACAACATAATGTTCTTTTTAGCAACATCATATGACCCCTTTAATGTAAAAGTCAGTGAAAGAGATTTTGTGCCTCTTTGGGATGGCACTAGGCTATAATGTGTCGTTCACTTGCAGAACACACGCTTCTGGAGGGCACATAAGTCTGAAGTAATGAATTTAGGTAAAGGGGTGCAGAGCCAGTGGTGGTTTTGTAGGCAAATATTAATGCCTTGAATTTTATGCGAGCAGCCACTGGTAGCCAGTGCAAATTGATGAACAGAGGTGTGACATGCGTTCTTTTCAGCTTGTTAAAGACTAATCTTGCAGCTATCTATCTATCTATCTATCTATTGTCTGTCTGTCTGTCTGTCTATCTATCTCATTTTGGATAATGCCTGAGATCCATCCATAACCTTGATCTAAATCTATGCCTGTTTACTAGTAAAAGTTAGAACACTATATCAAATCATCAAAAATAAAATCAGCTGTCTGAAACATTTTTGCTTACCTCACAAAGACTCATGTAGGTTTTCTTGAGGTTGAGGGTGTGCAGGTTCCCCAGAAGTGGCAGCGGTTTGGGTCCCGGAGGATATTTTTTCCCCTCATCCCGACAGCTGGAGCGGATGGAGAACAGGTAAATAACCAAACACAACAGCAGAGCACCTAATACTGTACCTGTGCCAGAGCCCTGCGAGAGTAATGCTTCAATTAAAGCCATAGTCAGACAGATCTACCATACACATGCACAGATCAATCACTCGTTTAGGTCTGATGTGGGTTGTAATCCTGTTCTTATGTACTATTTATAGGAGGGGGCATAAGAAAGAACAGGGTAACCTTTGCACAGGAACAAGGCTATAATTAAACATCTTGGCTAACTCTAACTATAATTTTAAATATTGCTGCTTTCAACAAGTTGTATCAATGTATCCAGATAGAGAGATGTTTTATCTATCTAATATATCTTTCTAGTGTAGAAACATCCTTTTTTTATCTTTGTCCTTTGGCCTGTTGATAATAAGTACTTTTTTGAAACACATAAAATATAAATGCTAAATAAATAAAAAAACGCTGGGTTGAGACCGTTGGGTAAGGACGTTGGGTTGTTTTAACCCAATTTTGGGTTGAAAATTACGGTAGCCGAGAAGTGCAAAACAAATCACAATTCTGAAAACAAAAAAATACGGGGTGTCTATTTAAATTTAGTTAAAAGTGGCTATAAATCATCAGCTCCAGTGGCATAGATAGATAAGCATGTGTCATTGGCTTTTTGACACGATCGACCCGGGTTCGATCCCGTCTTTTGCTGAACTTTTTTTTCCTCCCTTTTCAAATCTCGTATTAGCAATGGATTCTTCAATGAAAGAGAAGCTAAGCTACAAAAATCACGCTGTTTCTTCTCAAGGCTGTCATTTGTATTCAACCACTTGTCCAGAGGACTTGCTGTGTAACGATATCTTTAAACGGACACAGGATGATGAAAAGGTAGCCCCTTCCATTGAAGATCGAGCGTTCATGGAACGGATGGACAAGGAAATTTTCATTGATAGCTCTAACAGCTGGGTGGCACTTCTTCCTTTTTGAGTTCCACTCCAACAGCTGCCCAACAATAGGGACCAGAGTATGAAACGTCTCCTGTCACTCTGTCAGACACTGAAGAGAAAGCCTCAAACGCAAGAACATTTCCACACTAGCGAGTTGTTTTTTGCCTTTGTAGGTCAGCTTTGTATTCATAAATCAGTCGTACAATCGTACTCCAGTGTATTCATTCTTTTTTTTTTTTTCAAGAGCTTTGTCTTGATTTTCCAATTCGTCTTTAAATTGTAACTTGTTCATAATATTTTTTATTGACTTGAGCAGATACCAACATGAGCCGAACATTAACAAAAACTAAATTAAGTCCGTCGGTTATCCGGGTCGCGACAGATTACTGGAACTCTATGACCTGGATAAGTGACAATCTTCATAAATGAACATTTTACTATCAACAAAATTAGACAATCATCCACAGATTCTTCCCACTGTTTCATAACCTTCTTGGGTCCAAAATACACTTGGGACACTGAACTGTATTTCTGGGACAACAGTGAAACACAGAAAAGGCTTAAATAATAACAGACCCATGTGCATTGCAAATAACAAATCAGTGTGTTCAAACACTTCACGAGATTAGATATCTCCAAAGTCCAAGTTACAGTGGCCAGGAGGGGACTTGTTTGGTTCACTTAGTTTTGTCCAGTGGCGGCTCGTCGGGGGAGGCACAGCTTCCCCATAATTTTGAGGTGAAAATGGGAGGAGGACGATTTAATGTTAATAAAATTCACAGTTCATTTCAGTTCATGTCTCAGAATGTGTATATTTTGTTTGTAATTTCACAGTTGTAATACCATAACGTGAAAGCGCTGCTTTTCTATCGCGAATGTGCCGAATCTGCTGATGTAATTACGACCGCTAATGACAGAGAAGGGTAGGGGGAGGCCGGGGGAGACGCTGAGCTCTCGTGCCTCTGTTGGTAAAATAAATTAACCAATCAGCATTGAGTGTTCACTTTCAGCGCTGAGGAGTGTTGCGAAAAGAAACCTCGTAAGGGAGGCTAGCCTCCCTTCTGATATCAACCAATCATCAAAGAGACATAAATTACGTGATATTAGTTTGAACGTCTGCCGCTGCGCTGATAATGTACCAAGTACTTATGATGAGTAGCGATATTGAATATATGATTGCCAACAGATTTACCAAGCTGTCATTCAAACAGTATATATACAAATTTAGGGAAAACAGCCTAAGCTGGATATAGGCTACAGCAGTCGGCTTAATTAAATGGCGCAACAGGCAGCTCTCTTTTAACACAGACTTTTAAG